TTAGAGACTTCTTGCGGCAAAAGTGCAAAGTTTCGGATTCAAGGCTACCAACATTGAAAAATAAATTTTTTATATATGAAGAACTTCATTTTTGACACCACGAAAGTTTCCAAGCATTTGGAAACTTTCGTGGTGTCAAAATTGGCTACGTTCAAAATTGGCTACGTTCCGATATTCACTGCCAGTATTGAAAATCTATAATGTACGTTACGTAAACTATACATTTTTAGTACTGGCAATAAATATCGGAACGCAGCCTGGATCAATCAAAGCAAGAAATATTTTGTCCCTTTTTGATTGGTCAATTGAACGATTCGAAATTTTTGTAGCGTCAATCAGAACGCATCCTTGGTAAAGTATTGAAAATGCTGCATGATATGAATCGCAATCTGTGAATCTGCCATTATCTATCTTTTTGATCATGATGTTAGCTATAGGCTGTAGTAGATTGTGGCTAATATCGTGAACGTAGTTACAGACATTTGGTACAAAATGTTATCGAGATTGGCTCTTCGCAATGGTAAATGTCAATTCATTATTTCTCGCCATTGCATTTTTACAAATTATTCCAACCTGAGAAGCGAATTCGATCAATACAGGAAATAAATGAATTGGTTACGAAGTTGACATTTTCTATTATGTAATGGCAATTCCGCAATACGTTTACATTTTCTCACGATATTTACTAAAAACTATGCTCATATATTATAATTTATTAATTATACACCGTATATATAAAAATGTGTAACACGTTTAAGCCTTTTTTTTCTATAAAGTAAAATTTAAGCTTTTTCATGGGCAATTTTGTTTATGTTACATTGCCATATTTTTTCTATGAAAAGTTATCGAAATTTTTGTTCTTTTTAATACATTATATTTTTTTTTGTACCATTGTATGCAATTTTCCTTATGTTTCTATGTCTATATATGCCACACAAAAAATTAAATCTTAAATATATATTTCCAATGTAAAAAGTATAATGGCTTATAGGTAGAAAAAGTATATTTCTTGTGATAATATTGTTTCTCTTTCTCTCTCTCTCTCTCTTTAATTTAGCTCAATTATTACCAATGGCTATGCGTGGAGCGCAAAGCGCTTCTTCAGTAGCAACAGAACCTACTCGTCCCAAACGTTTGATTGATCCATCTCCAGTTAGGCATGGATTCATACCTGAGGAATGGTTTCAAGCTTTCTATTCAAAAACTGGTGCATCAGGTATGCAATTACTCTTATTGTATGATGATAATTGAATATCTGATTTGAAGTAATTCATATATAAACTTTTATATTGGATATGTTAAGATAAAGTTTCTTTATAATCACAAAGTGAATAATTTCTTGTATAAGTTTACATTGAAAAAATCTAGGACAACACTTTCTTTTATATAAAGCTTTATATTTGCAATAAAATAATCCAAAATGATCTAAAATTATTATATATAAGAGTTACATAATCTATTATCAAAATGGTAAATTAATTACATTTTTTTTTTTTTTTATTAGATGTTGCAAGTAAACTTGACTTGTTATAAAGTATGAAACTTGCTTTAACAGTATAGAAAAAATATTTAAGATAATATATTAAGAACAATAAAGATAAGCTTAATATTTTACATACAATTTTCATAATTTAGATTATTTTTAATTAATTTCTTTTTTAAAAAGACGTTCTATTTTTTTTTAAATAATAATTTAACAAACACTGTTAAGACATAATTCATGATATTGTACAAGATTGTTGAAGATTATCCAAGCTCACAAAATATAAAAGATAATATTAAATCATTTCTAATTTTTTAATCATTTCTTTTACAAAGTAAACATATGTATGAAAAACTTTAATGTATAGATTTGTATTTATTTCTGAAAGAAATTGTTTCTTTTTTTATTATGTCTCTATATATCATATCCTGCATAAAATGACGTGGTATTTTTCTGTCATCACTAATTGGGTTCTGTCATCACTAATTATTGTTGTATGTTTTATTTTCAGGGCCATACGTATTTGCTATAACTGTGGGCACTTATTTATGTTCAAAAGAAATTTATGTTATGGAGCATGAGTATTATAATGGTCTGTCTCTGTTAATAATATATATAGCAGGTGTAAAAATGTTTGGTCCAAAAGTAGCTGAATACTTGGACAAGGAAGTAGATAAATACAATGATAATCTTGACGAATCTAGAAACAACCAAATAGCTCAATATGAGGACTCAATTACACAAGAGAAAAAAGAGCAATGGAGCCTAGATGGCCAGAAAATGATAATGGAAATTAAAAAAGAGAATATTAAGATGCAACTGGAAGCAACTTATAGGGAACGTTTGGTGCAAGTCTATCAAGAGGTATAACAATTTTTTTTGTGTATAATAGAATATAAAATAATAATTATAGAAAAAAATATAACAATAGATTTACTTTTTCATTTATAATTAGAGCAAAGCTTAAGATTACAATAGTTGTTTAAATTTCTCACATACTGATCTCATTATTAAAAAGAATGTAATAATTTTTGCTTAGACATTACAATTGTTAACTTGTTAAATTAAATGTAAATTTCATAAATTTTTTTAAAAATTTAATTGAATATGGTATAACAATACATTTTTATACTAAGTTTCACAAGAAAAAGAAGTAAACAAATATAAGAAATTTTATTTGCTTGCTTACAGGTGAAGAAGCGTCTCGACTACCAAGTGCAAATACAAAATCTCGAACGACGAATCGCACAGAAGCATATGGTCCAATGGATTGTGAACGGAGTATTGAAAGCCATCACTCCCGATCAGGAGAAGGCAACCCTTCAACAGTGCATCAAAGATCTTGAAGCTCTCGCTGCGAAAGCGTAAAGTGTCGCTAAATAATAATTTAGATGAAATAGAAATATGATAGAGTAAGAGAAGGCGTCTGTCAGTAAATTGTCTATCTCTATCGAATATTGTTTCTGAATCGTCGGAATCATCAAGTGTTGTAAATGAATAAATGCCATCTTGCAATATTTACAGTGTAAATTGATTTTTGTTAACAATATTATGGAGAATTGTAAATTTGGATAAACGTCAGTTATTAAAATGATAAATTAATAATAAGTTTTTTTATTTCTATCCGCGTGTACAAGTAAAATATTTCATAAATTTTATATAAATTTCAATTGATTTCAATTATATAAGTAATGAGGCCATATTATATACAAAGTGAGATTTATCTTAAATTCAATGGTAATAAGAAAAATTTATATACAATATGTCTTATTATGTTTATATCATGTGAGATTTTTTTTGCAACTGTAAATAAAAATGTAATATGTTCTAAAATTTGAATAGAGTAAAACAGCACAGAAATAGGATAAATTTACATATAAACACTCAAATTAAATTTCAATAAAATTAAAATAAATCTCCATAGTATAAGTCACAGATATCAGTCAGTTGCTCTATTCATTATTATTATTATTTTTTTTTTTTTTTTTTTTGCGATATTGTTATGTGATCATTTTGATAATTTGATATCACATTCAGCACAGAATAAGGGTAATATATTACATTTGTCGTATCACAAACTTTTTAAGCGCATTGATTAGCTAATTTCTAGAGACTCAAGAAATTTTCTATTCTGCAGCCAATCAGTATGCTTAAAAAATTTATCGTACGACAAATGTAATATTATCCTACGGCTTATGTTTTATCCAAGAGAGAGAGTATCTATTACTTTTTCCATTACTTCTCAAGTTATAAAACTTATCTTTGTGATTTGAATTATTTAGAGCAGTTTGTATAACGATCCTTAACCCTTGGACGAGCGCGTCAAAATTTGAAGCAGGAACGGTCGTGTAGGCTACATCCCAGAGTATTTTTCTCGTAAATATTAATGAGGAAAAAGTTTTCACTTTCCTCTTCGATTTTATGAATCTTTAGACATTTCTTTAACATAATTTCTAAAGTATGAAAAAAATTTGAATTTTAATAAAAAAAGACTTCTCCAGCAAATGGTAAAAATCTCGCGATTTTGCTAAACTAACTGGGATGTAGCTTACACCCCACGCACCCGTCCAAGGGTTAAACATCAGAAATTATGAAATAGCTTTTTCGAATGAAGCAGGTTTGATCGACCCAAGGTTGATTAATGACGTCATTGCATCGTCTCTGCCAATAAAAGACTTGAATTCATAGTAAAATAGTGATTAATTGATCCGGGACGAATTAAAATCCGTTTATTCGAAAACGCTAAAATTAAATTGCAGGCTTTATATACGCTCATATGAAGAACTTGAATACAGATATAAATAGTGAATAGTACGCCGCATAGCGATAAGCGAATAAACTATATTATTTCAAATAACAGTTGATTTTGTAATATTTCGTAATAAGCTGCAGATTCTGTTTGGTTTCTGTTGCCAATCAGCCAATCTGCCGTCAGATTACGCACACGCAGATTTTGCTTGGTTTCTGCCGACAATCTGTCAGATTCTATGAGATCCTGCTAGCAAATCATAAGCTTAATGCGGACATAATAGATGCCAATTTCCTAGTAACTTCTGAGTAAATCTGTTGCTAAGCTGCTGGCAAATTGCGTGCGTTTTGCTTACTGAAACATATATATTTATATAAGTTATATAGCGATTATTTGTGAGTGAGTTGTAAGAATAATTAATTTTTACGTAGTAGTTTTCACTATACTATATATAAATGAGAAAAGAAAATAAATGGAGTTTTCAAAATTTCAATTTTTGAAGTTTTTATTTGTATTACTTATCTTGTCTATTAAGTTCCCGATATCTCAAAATTTAAATTTGTGTAAGTATCGGCAGAAGGCCAAAGGTTAGTCCTGCAGGGAGAATTTTTAGCGGATGTGAGTCCTGTATACCCCATCAGATTGACCGGTGGGGATGCATTCTACATTTTTCTCTTCCTTTGCAAAAAAAATCAAATCTAATACTTTTGCGGATTTCGAAGCTTCGAATTTTCGCGCTCCTTGAAATTTTAATCTGTGCCACCTCTTTGTTGATTATGTTCTCTTGATACTTTTGCGGATTTCAAAGCTTCAAATTCTTGCGCTTTTTTAAAAATTTTACCTTGTGCCACCTCCTTGCTGGTTATACTCCTGATATTTTTGCAGATTTCGGGATTTCGAAGTTTCAAATTTTTACATTTTTTAAAAATTGGGTTTGTGCCATTTCTTTGCTGATTATGTTCTCTTGATATGCCACCTCTTTGCTGATTATGTTCTCCTGATACGTCACTTTCTTGCTGATTATATTCTTCTGATACTTTTGCAGATTTTGAAGCTTCAAACTTTCGCGCTTTTTAAAATTTTAATTTGTGCCATTTGCTTGCTGATTATGTTCTCCTGATACTTTTGCGGATTTCGAAGCTTCGAATTTTCGCGCTCCTTGAAATTTTAATCTGTGCCACCTCTTTGTTGATTATGTTCTCTTGATACTTTTGCGGATTTCAAAGCTTCAAATTCTTGCGCTTTTTTAAAAATTTTACCTTGTGCCACCTCCTTGCTGGTTATACTCCTGATATTTTTGCAGATTTCGGGATTTCGAAGTTTCAAATTTTTACATTTTTTAAAAATTGGGTTTGTGCCATTTCTTTGCTGATTATGTTCTCTTGATATGCCACCTCTTTGCTGATTATGTTCTCCTGATACGTCACTTTCTCGTGTAGGCTACATCCCAGAGTATTTTTCTCGTAAATATTAATGAGGAAAAAGTTTTCACTTTCCTCTTCGATTTTATGAATCTTTAGACATTTCTTTAACATAATTTCTAAAGTATGAAAAAAATTTGAATTTTAATAAAAAAAGACTTCTCCAGCAAATGGTAAAAATCTCGCGATTTTGCTAAACTAACTGGGATGTAGCTTACACCCCACGCACCCGTCCAAGGGTTAAACATCAGAAATTATGAAATAGCTTTTTCGAATGAAGCAGGTTTGATCGACCCAAGGTTGATTAATGACGTCATTGCATCGTCTCTGCCAATAAAAGACTTGAATTCATAGTAAAATAGTGATTAATTGATCCGGGACGAATTAAAATCCGTTTATTCGAAAACGCTAAAATTAAATTGCAGGCTTTATATACGCTCATATGAAGAACTTGAATACAGATATAAATAGTGAATAGTACGCCGCATAGCGATAAGCGAATAAACTATATTATTTCAAATAACAGTTAATTTTGTAATATTTCGTAATAAGCTGCAGATTCTGTTTGGTTTCTGTTGCCAATCAGCCAATCTGCCGTCAGATTACGCACACGCAGATTTTGCTTGGTTTCTGCCGACAATCTGTCAGATTCTATGAGATCCTGCTAGCAAATCATAAGCTTAATGCGGACATAATAGATGCCAATTTCCTAGTAACTTCTGAGTAAATCTGTTGCTAAGCTGCTGGCAAATTGCGTGCGTTTTGCTTACTGAAACATATATATTTATATAAGTTATATAGCGATTATTTGTGAGTGAGTTGTAAGAATAATTAATTTTTACGTAGTAGTTTTCACTATACTATATAAATGAGAAAAGAAAATAAAGTTGGAGTTTTCAAAATTTCAATTTTTGAAGTTTTTATTTGTATTACTTATCTTGTCTATTAAGTTCCCGATATCTCAAAATTTAAATTTGTGTAAGTATCGGCAGAAGGCCAAAGGTTAGTCCTGCAGGGAGAATTTTTAGCGGATGTGAGTCCTGTATACCCCATCAGATTGACCGGTGGGGATGTATTCTGCATTTTTCTCTTCCTTTGCAAAAAAAATCAAATCTAATACTTTTGCGGATTTCGAAGCTTCGAATTTTCGCGCTCCTTGAAATTTTAATCTGTGCCACCTCTTTGTTGATTATGTTCTCTTGATACTTTTGCGGATTTCAAAGCTTCAAATTCTTGCGCTTTTTTTTAAATTTTACCTTGTGCCACCTCCTTGCTGGTTATACTCCTGATATTTTTGCAGATTTCGGGATTTCGAAGTTTCAAATTTTTACATTTTTTAAAAATTGGGTTTGTGCCATTTCTTTGCTGATTATGTTCTCTTGATATGCCACCTCTTTGCTGATTATGTTCTCCTGATACGTCACTTTCTTGCTGATTATATTCTTCTGATACTTTTGCAGATTTTGAAGCTTCAAACTTTCGCGCTTTTTAAAATTTTAATTTGTGCCATTTGCTTGCTGATTATGTTCTCCTGATACTTTTGCGGATTTCGAAGCTTCAACTTTTCGCGCATTTTGAGATTTCACTTTCTGCCACCTCTTTGCTGATCATGTTCTTCTGATATTTGATTCCAAGAAATACAGTTTCAGAAATTCCAAGAACAAAAAGTCGACAAAATTGTATCAAAAAAATATATAATTAGGAAAGAAGTATGCGACACGATAAGATGTGTGAGAATGGATGGGTATATGTTCAATCAAGACATTTGCATTTTGTATTATTAATACAGTTTATTAGATTTTTTTAAATTGCATATAATATATTTCACAGATTATTATTGATTCTTTTGTATATACAGTGATATACATTAATTTTCTTCCATTTTGCGTTTTTATCATCGGTATTTCATCAAACAATAAAATAAAATTATTTAGAAACAAAACTAGCGTTAGAAAATCTTAGAAAATATACATTAACCCCTATTGAATATCGCAATATATATAAAATAGACATTTTCGTTAAATAGATTGATCACTTTCGCTCTTACATTACGTTATTTGTATACGCACATACATAGTCATTTTTATTATTATACAACAATAATAGACACAGGTATTTTATTATGTATATATATACATATATCGGATATCAGACGCAACAGAAGATATGCATTGAACACTAAATTAGGAAATATCTTCAAATACTAAAAATAATATGACTTTATATATTTGTGGATAAAAGTGGATTGATCACTTGCGCTGTGCGCGTTAACTACATTTTGCACACACACACACACACACACACAAGCGCGCGCGCGCGCGGTCATGTTTTTATTATTATACAATAAAATAAATACATACAGGCATTTTATTACATATATATTGGATATCGGATATAATCGCTTTCGCTATTACAATATATTTTGTACACACACGCCCACACACAGTCATTTTTTATTATTATACAATAATATACACTAGCATTACTATATATATCTACAAATATAGGATATCGGACGTAATCAGATGCAATATGATTTTTCCAGATCACATCAGCTGTTTTTTGCGACGTTGCCAATTCCTACATTACCAATAATTTTTTTGCCGGAATAATCATGCTGTGATAACATAGTATAAATATATCTTATTAAATAATTATATATCATTAAAAGATAAGCACTCCATAACTGAGTGGTTCGCGAAAAAAGCTGAGTAATTGAATTTTGGAAACGTAGCGAGAATTTTTATTATCTAAAACATATATTACATATCACATTCACTTTTTTTGCTTATTTTTCTTTATCTTATTTTGTAAGATAAAATTTATTTTAGGCTATAATTTGCAATGAAATTCAAAACAAAATGATAATTTCATGTGTGCGCTGTGTATTCCGATCATATGGAATTATATATAAAATTCGGTCTCAATTTTCGGGGATAAAAAAAATATTAAACAAAAATTAGAATTCAAATCTTCAATTTTAATCGATATAGAAGGGTCATCGATATATAATCGCGTCTCGCGTGATAACGCGAAACAAGATGAAGCTGGCTACTTGGCATCGTGCGGCTATATTCCGTTTCCATGCGCGAATCTGTCGACGAATCGAACGCGTCGCGTTGTTCGGCCATTAGCCTTCGGGCGCGATCGGGCATGTTCGGCCGCGCTCGGTCAGTGACGACGGGCATCGGGCGGCGCGCGCGAGTTACTCGGGCGGCCGGGGGCCGCCATTTTCCTCCAGCAAGGGAGAGCAGTTCGGAGCGTAGGTAGCGGAGGTCTGTGTGCGTTACTAACGTATCGGGTCGAAAATAGTGAATCGGGAGACGCGACAGTTTTGTTCGCGTACACCGCGAACCGTGTGCGATCCATACGTACGTACGGTCATACGGAGGACCGCAGTGCGCCTGGTGGCCAGTATATCCGCGCGACATTGTGCCGACTGGCGGCGATCACCCGGTAGACGGACGCCGCCGCCGCCGCGTACCGTTGTGCAAAATTAACGACACGAAGCAGAGATATATCTCTGAAAAAGACTCGGGAAGATCGCGATAGTAAACGATAGAAAGAACGAAGGGAAGAAGGAGAGAAAAAGAGACAAGACAGCGCGCGAGCGCAAAGGAAAGAGAGAGAAAGGGATAAGGAACAGCAAGATAGAGAGAGAGAGAGAGAGAGAGAGACACACACACAATTGAGACAGAAGCAGTGTGAATAGTTTGGTGATCGCATTGTGGCCGCGCAGTGAAAATACTCGACCAGCCAACTTCGGGTATTACGACGCCGAACGGGATAACAAGAGGAGAGTGAGTCGCCTCCGACAGGTTAGTGCAGTGTATGATTATGGCTTCTTGCATGTGTACTACGCGCGCGCGCGCGAGCGCGAGCGAGCCAACCAGCCGAGATAGTTGGCGCGCCTCGCGTATTCGCGTTACGCGGGTACGTGTAACGAGTTCTTTTCGAAGCGGCGGTGGCGTCGGCGTTGCATGCGTGCGGCTGAGAATTCCTCGTCTTCTGCGTGCGTACGCTTTCTTTGTGCCGCAGCGGGAGATGTATGTGCTTTGCTCTTTTCGCGCCGCTTGCCGCACGCATACAGTCTGCCTCCCTCCGTTCTCCCATATTTTCTTTTTTTTATTCGATCTTTCTATAGTTATTACCTATTCTCTTTTTAAAACAATTACGCAAATATACTTTCTCTGATTTAAACGAAACTTTGAATTCAATATCTTTGTGAATAGAATAATCATCGTTAAAATATATATATTGTCGTTCTCGGATACAAATTAAATTGGAGTAGAGTATAAATAAAAAATACGCGAGATTTTTTAATAAGTTCGCGCCAAATATACATATAGTGATATATATATGTGGTGATAAAATACTATATTCTCACGATATTTTTTCAAAAGTTTTGACACGTGCGTGTGTTTTCTATAAACGATAGAGTGGGTAATATAAGTACATGCAAATGTTGTCGGGGAAGAAGTACGTAAAGGGAGAGAGAGAAAGAAGGAGAGAGGGAGAAAGAGATAGGAGAGAAAGAAAGAACGAGCACGCGCCTTTCTTTTTGCTTGCGCGTTCAGCCGAACTGGCCCGATTATTGCTTTCCCCCTCTTCTACCGACTGTGCCTACCTTCACTCGGCCATACTTTGCTTTTGCGTGCATGCATGCGTGCGTGCGTGACTACATTGAACAAATATCTATCTAGATATTTGTGCATCAGAACTGTGCCTAATGACAGTTTTACTTGTTTGACACTTGTGAAAAAAAAATAAATAAATAACAGGTTAGGTAATATTAAATAATAGATGTGTATATTTCAACCTGTTGACCAATAGTCACGATGCATGACAAATATCTACAGACAATGCGTTCGATCGCCTAAACCGAAAGTCAAAGGCATTATAATGACGTCAAATTTATTATATATTGTTTACGATAAAGTGAGTGTACGAGTATTCAATTTGGAGGGAAAAAGTGGGGAAAATCGCCTGTGAAAAAAAGTGCAGATAAAGAAAACGGACTTGCATCTACTCTCTCGGACGACTGTGCGCGCGCACGCGCTCGTTTTCGCATCCAACGGATGCGCTTCGCGCGCGTTGACCTTCGATAATGTCTCTTCTCAACGACGGTTCTCTATCGTCTGCGCACAAGATTCATATATATATATATATCTGCGAACGCGTTTCCGGAGAAAGAAAGAGAAAGAGAGGGAAAGCAATGCAGCTAACGTATGTCGAAAGAGATTACACGATATTTTTTTACATACTTTTTTTTTCTTTTTTTCAAGTGAAAGGATCGAGAATGATGCTAAAATAGCAGGGGCGAACGATATGTTGAGAGGAAGGAGGAAATTTGGCAGGATGTAGCTCTGTTTTCGATTATTTTCTCCAGAGAGTACTTTGGCACATCAGAATATATTGAAAAATAAACAATTATAAGAATTATGTAAAATAAATAAAATTATAAACACAATGTTATTGTTAAAACACTATTACAAAGAGACACAAAAGTATTAAGTTTATCTACATATACACTATATTATAAAGAAGTAAAGTTTGTTTGTCCCACTGTTCGGGGTAATCTCAGAAACTACTGAACCGATTTGAAAAGGGCTACGTTCCGATATTCACTGCCAGTATTGAAAATCTATAATGTACGTTACGTAAACTATACATTTTTAGTACTGGCAATAAATATCGGAACGCAGCCTGGATCAATCAAAGCAAGAAATATTTTGTCCCTTTTTGATTGGTCAATTGAACGATTCGAAATTTTTGTAGCGTCAATCAGAACGCATCCTTGGTAAAGTATTGAAAATGCTGCATGATATGAATCGCAATCTGTGAATCTGCCATTATCTATCTTTTTGATCATGATGTTAGCTATAGGCTGTAGTAGATTGTGGCTAATATCGTGAACGTAGTTACAGACATTTGGTACAAAATGTTATCGAGATTGGCTCTTCGCAATGGTAAATGTCAATTCATTATTTCTCGCCATTGCATTTTTACAAATTATTCCAACCTGAGAAGCGAATTCGATCAATACAGGAAATAAATGAATTGGTTACGAAGTTGACATTTTCTATTATGTAATGGCAATTCCGCAATACGTTTACATTTTCTCACGATATTTACTAAAAACTATGCTCATATATTATAATTTATTAATTATACACCGTATATATAAAAATGTGTAACACGTTTAAGCCTTTTTTTTCTATAAAGTAAAATTTAAGCTTTTTCATGGGCAATTTTGTTTATGTTACATTGCCATATTTTTTCTATGAATCCCACTGTTCGGGGTAATCTCAGAAACTACTGAACCGATTTGAAAAAATCTTTCACTGGTGGATAGCTTAGATCTTCCTGAGTAACATAGGCTATATATCAACGTCTAAAAGGTGAGCAATAAAAAAGAACGTGCATGAAGTCGGAAAAAAATACGTCGTTCACGCTCCATATTCTAATTTAACGTAAAAACTACACAACCGATTTTGATGAAACCTTCACCAGTACGTTTCTAGACGTCTTAGGAGCTTTTAAGGATATGAATTATAATTGACCCATATTTGCCCATCCTCACAAATCCGTAACTACATACCGAGCGGGCGAGGAAAAAACGCCAGCTAGTACATTATAAATAAATTATATGATTCCTTGTTCCTTGCGAGACTAATGGTCAAATTTTGATAGGAGAGAATGCGAGAGAAAAGAGAAGGGAATAACGCTACATTAAGTAAATATATTGCGAAACGGATGGATAGATAGAAAAGATCGTAGGAAGAGGAGGAGAAAAGAGATGAAAATATAAATGAATGATATTCTAGAAGCGTCCAAATGGCGGTCTCACCCAGCACAATAAGTGATTTATGGCATCATACCTCTCTTAAGCGCAGCGCGGCACTTTCCTCCCCATTTTTCCGCGACATTGCAATGTCGTTATATTGTATCATAATTTAGTCGCCGATAGATAGATAGATAGATAGATAGCAAGAGAGAGAGAGAGAGAGTTTGTCGTTAATAACGAACGGTAGTTAATTTCGTATATTTATGAAAATTATGAGAATAAAATAATTATTATAATTAGAGAATTTGAGATAAATGATCTATTTTATATCATTTTTTTTTTTTTAAAGTGAAAGGTTTTTACAATCTAATTTATATATAAATCTTTTTATAATTTTTATACTATACTATATATAACTTAATTTATATTAATTTATTTACAAAAAAAA